CTATGGTGAGGGTGGTGGCTGGTTGGAGGTGGTGGCCAACAATGGCAATGTTGATGGTGAGTGTAGTGGTAGCCGGTGGAAGTAGTGGCAGTGGTTGGTGCTTTGTAATTAGGGCGACGATTAGTAGTAGCTCATGATCGACGATGTCTGGTGGCTGGCTAATAATGGCAATTGCTGGTGGTAGAAGTGGTCAATGGCCGACGAAAATAGCTGGCCAGTGACAAGGGTTGACCATCGAGTTCCCAACAAAGTTTGAAGGAAAAGAGTATAATGTTATGAATATGACTTCCATACTCAAGAGGGAAGTGAATTGAGCATGACAAATTTTTTACAAAAGCACCCTTTTTGTTTCTAAATTAATATTGTAGATACAAGGTATATTTTTTATGATCACAAAGTGACAACAATAAAAAGAGAAAAACATTGATCAAGAGCAAAAAGCATCAACCACATGTGGATATTGAAGACATATGATGTAACCACACAAGAAGAGTAATGTCATATCAAAGTTGCAAGATTATTGAACCAAGAGCAACAAGGAATAATTAGAAGAGCAACACCAAGATCAAAGACAACAAACCATGGACAATATCTAAGAGAAGCTCAATATCATAAGCATGGTGAAAAATGATCAAAACCAACAAGTGTCAAGCATTGTCATATCCAACAAGTCAAAGCATCAAGCTCAAGTAAAGATCTAAGACACAAGACATAAAGCTAAGTCTAAAATTATATATAGAATATATCTTTAGGACTTAGAATATATATGAGGGTATATGGTAGATTGCATTGCATGAGCTCAAAGTTTTTCTCAAAGTAAACGTGTTTTTCGAATTGCATAATCATAACCTTTATATACTTGAAAGCAATTTGAAAACCCATTGAAAAGATCCTTGACATATTTTATAACTTCAAAACATATTTATCAAGTCAAGATCTTTCACAAAAAGTGGTTGGAAGCAAGCTATAACACATTTGAACTTAAAATTTGTTGCATAATTTCACTACTGCCTTCCATACAATTTTTCATATCCAAGATGATGGATTATATCTTGTGTTCTTCATAGAAGTTGTATATATTTCTTTTATCTTTCCGACAAGACCAAGATCACATCAATCCGACAAGAATAGCTCAAGTTATGCCCAAAATACGAAACAATATTATTATTGTCGAATTTCCAGCCTTCCAACAGTGGGAATCGATTCCCAAACTAGGAAATTGATTACCACCATGTGGAAATCAATTCCCCCTGCGACAAAAAGCCTATAACGACTAGTTTTGCAAAAAATCACTATAAATACATTCCTTATGACCCTAAAACGTAAAGATCACTATTCCTAAACATCTTAAGGATGATTTGAGAGCTTCTACACTATCATTTTCATATTCTTTCATATCTTTCAAAGATCAAACATATTTGAGCTCATATCTTGAAAATCCATATACCCATAGTGCTTCAAGTTGTATATCCACACTTTGAGAGTGTATCATTTCCAAATATTTTCCTCCTTGTATTCTTGAGTTGAAAGGGTTGTGAGACCCATTGTTTGAGAGGTAGCCAAATACCTAAGTAAATTTGGAGTGAATTGTAAGGTTGCCAAGTACCCATAAACTTGGAGATTGTAAGGTATCCAAGAACCCAAAGTCTTGGAAGATTGTAAAGGTTTGTCAAGCACCCGTGAAGCTTGGCTATTAGTGAAAGAGTTGATTGAGCGTTTTCAGTCTGGACGTAGGTCACAAGTGGTGGTGACCGAACCAAGATACATTGCGTTTGCAATTCTCTAAACTCTAAACTCTTTTTTCTAGTACTTTAATTGCTTCTTTGATATCTTGTATGTGCTAGAATAAGTTCTATAATTGTGATATATTATATATTATGGATTGTTTGAATGTACTGATTAGCTTTCCACATATCAAATATTGCTTGAAATGATTATTTAGAAACTAGAAGAGGGATTTTGCGAAAATCTTGTAATACTCAATTCACCCCCCTCTTGAGTATGAAAGCCACATTCCTAACAAATATTTCAAGTAAGATTTGATATATTAAATGGGGATATATTATTCTGCATACCCTTAATTTGCCTACCTTTGTCTTCCCCTTTCGACAAAGTTAGATTATAATCTCATCTAACGGTGGAGATTTATGGAAAAGAATAAACTTTTTTACCTCTTTCTTTCTCCTCACTATCTCCCTCACTTTCTCTCTCATCCCTTTCTCTCTATCCACGAAGATAGAGACAGAGAAACACATAGGATCAAAATCCCTTGTGAGTTTGAATTGATTTTTTGTTTAACAGATACTAGTTTACGAATTGGTGGATTCTTTTGCGATTATCTAAATTAAACAAAACAAGGTTTTGTCATTTATACTGACCCAACAAGCAGTATTAATTAATGATTTATCTCCGACTAGCTGAATGATTATTGGAGGTTAACTCAAATTAGTTGTTTATAACAACCAAGGAATGAGTTTGTGGTGATAAATTCAAGTTGTATGTATACAAAAAAAATTCAGTAAATTACATATATTTTATTTCATTATCAGGTTTTCTCTAGCAAGAATATGATTTGGCTTAAATTCGAATTTGCTGCCAATGATGACTCTTTTGAAATTTGAATGCTATATCTTTTCTTCCGCTGGTGTGATTTTTGAGGGGCATTGCATTAAGTATTGACACAAATATATGTTCTTTCGTCGATAGAGAAGAAAGGGGAGGAGAGAGAAAAGGAATGAGGCAGTGAGGAGAAAAAAGGGATAAAAAGATTTATTTTATCCCGCAAATCTCCACCGTTGGATGAGATTATAATCTAACGATGTTGAGAAGAATAGGCAAATTAAGGGTAGGCAGAATAACCTATCCCTATTAAATGATCATCAATATATTTAAACAATCTATACTAAACATACAAGGCACCAAAGAATAAGCAAAGTATTAGAAAATAAATAGTTAACAGTTATGAAGAATGCAAACACAATTTATCCTAGTTCAGTCACCATCACTTGTGACGTACGTTCAGACTACAATCACTCAATAGTTCTTCACAATTTCATCAAGCTTCAATATGTGCTTGATAAACAGCTACAACCACCAAATTTTTGAATACTAGGTAAACTTACAACTTCCACCAAATTTACAAGTATTTGGCAACCTTCACAAAGCTTCCCAAATTCCCATATGTCCTTATCGATAATTTTATATATAAAAAGTGTTTATTATTTTTAACATTCAAATAAATTTTTTATTTAAAAGTACTTTTTAATATTCCATCCAAACATAAAATAGCTTTAGTTTTTTTTTAAAAAAAATATTCTAAAAAATATAAGCTATAAAAAGCTCTTTTTGCAGTCTATGTACTCATGAAGTGTATGCAAATATGGTTAAGGCCCAAATTGCCAATTCACAGCTATTATAAAACACCATGGATAGAAAAAAAGAAAACAATATATAAAAAATAATAACAATAATAACCGCTTTCACTTCATAGTCTACAACTCATCTTTCCTACTTGGAAGTGACTAAGAGATTGATATCCTTGATCAAGCATTAAATTGGTAACAATTCATATAACACTTTGGCCTTTAGCTACTAATCTCAGGTAATTATTGGCAAAATGTGGTGCCAGAAACTTTTTGTATGTTGTTTCTATTCACCGATTTCCTCCCTAGTAAAGACCTTAGTAGTGGATCACAAAGTATCTTTGTATTTTTTTCTAGGGGTCAAAAAGTTTGTTTTCTTTACCTGATTGATTCAATTTCTGTTGTGTCATTCAGGTCATCATAATCAGAAATTATAGAGTCACTCTCATCTTAAGATGCTTCAGTATCATCTTCCCCTTCACTTATTTCATCCAGATTCATGTCACACTTGTTTTTTGACATTCTTAAAGATGTTATGGGCGGAATGTACATGTTGAGAATTCAGCCCTTCTTTTCTTTTGATAATTGCATAATATTCTGAAAATAAGCATTCATATGTATCTCCTCGTTGCGTATCACCTTATTATATGTGACTTGTGCAAAGCTAATAAAACTTATTTTGATTGTAGTACCAAAACTTCTACTAACAAACCTTACTCACCTTCTACTCATTTTCAGTTATTTTTTGATTGTAGTAGCAAGAACAGCAAATCAGGATCGTAAGTTCGGTTTTAATGTCAGGCTCTATGTGTTAAATATTTTTCTCATCATCCAAATGGCAATTTTGGTGTGCACATTATTATTGTTCCATTAAGAGCTTATATATAATCTACAGAACTCAGCCTTTAACATCTTGGAATAAGAAATATTCGACCTGTTTTTCAGTCAATAAAAAATCTGTATACTTGATAAGCATCAAATTTTGGATAGAGTTCTTCAGCATTCACTCTTATCTCCACGTATTTCCCCTTTTAAATTCTTACGTGAAGTTGCTACCTTCTTCTGAATTGTTTTTTGTGAGTTTAACTTGGTTGCTAGTGTTTCAGATCATTAGTAAGCTAAGCAGGAATTTTCTTGTAGTATATTATATATCCACACTTTGAGAGTGTATATTCAGTAAAAGGAGTGGGAACGAAGAGCTTCCCAGAGATTTGGTGTTCTCTGTTTGTGGTTATTTTGTTATACACATCTTTGGATCCTTTATACCTTTCATTTTGTAATGGTGAATATAAGTTACCATGAAATACTATATCAGACTATGAAGCTCACCTTGAAAACAAAATTGAAGCTCTTGTTGCCGACAAATGATTGCCGGTGGTGCATCTTAGATAAAGTTTTTTATACGCAACATGCAACATATATAAGGGTCACCGTAGTAATGAAAATAAACAATCAGAAGAGCCTAGTTCAGAAAATCACAAGGTGTATCCCTATAGCAATTTAATTAAGAGACTATTAATGTCACCAATTCACTTCTCATGCAATGCAATTAAAAAAAGAGGTTATTTATATGTATACTACGTACTAGTGGGAGACAAAGTTTGGATTTGATTCAAAAACATTTTAAGTTTGGGCATCACACAGAAAACAAGGGTGAATGTCTTCTATTGTTTTTTTTAGAATCAGTAGGACAAGCAGTTAAAGCCATGAGATCAAGTTACACATACTTATACTTAATGGGGCATGTCTGTTCTGAGTCCTAACTACTAACCATAGTGACTTCATATAAACATAGAATTACGTTATTAAATTGTAGCACATCAGGCACACACATTAAGCATAGAGTATTTTGTGTCAGCCATGGAAAGCAGCAACATCAATGGTAGTAGTGGGGGTGCTTGCTGGTGCATCATATTTGCTGAATAGCTTGTAAGAGGAAATGAGGGAAAGCACCACATAGCAAACAACTGCTACAAATGTAATAGCTATTGATGTTGTGACCTTATGACAAAATCTACCAAAAGAACCACAAGCTGAGCTCCATGTTGTTGCAGTGTCTCCATTCTCAGCCAGGTACAGCACCTCTGTTGACACAGCTCCAGCGGCTAGAACTATGTAGGTTAGCACCTAGGAATGCAAATAGAACAATGTTTCATTTTTATTTTTATTTTTTGAAAAAAATGTCATATAATATCATACTATTGGTATCTATAGAAGATTTCAGGCATATGACTATAGAAGACTTAGTTATATTTTGATGTTAAAGAGTTTGCCATTTAGTCTTAGCTGTTCAAGTTCAGATAAATCTTAGGTATAAGCATCCTAATATGAGCCATGAAAAGAGTGTTCTTATCTGGTTTTTATTTTCACTTTTCATATATGCATTTTTAACTATCTGATTATAATTGTTCTTATCTGGTTTCCTATACATTTATTTTCCGATTCTGTCATTTCATAATAATGTAAGGGAATCTAAAAGATTTAGATAAGTAAGATATTTTTTATATGTATAACAAGCTAGCATTGTTAATCACTTACTTACCAATGGACCAAACACATTTAACAATTAACTGGAGCTACAAGTAAGAGGTCCAAATTACAAAAAACAACTAGCCATCCAAAAAGGAAAGAATTGAAACTGGAAAACAAGAGTTTAAGTAATACAATGTAAAAGTTTTACACTATTTTCAATCATTATAGCAAAAACTACACTACAAATATAGCAAAATTAAACCAACAAAACAATTAGCAGGGCTCTTGCAAAAAAGGAAACATTGGGTAAAATGAAAATTCATAAGTAAATACTAAATATATTTAGATGATACATCACATTAGTGTTTATTTAACACTTTTATAAAAGTCCAAATTTAGATATGAATTAAATATAGCAAGATAAAAAAAATAGTGGAGATAATGGACCTGGTCAAGCAAAAAGAAAGTCCAAGCACGAGGCATAGTGGAAGGACGTGGCAAAGCAACAATGACAGCTGAAAGTAGTGAGTAACCTGCACAAATACCATTTGCATGCACCAAATACCTGCAAGATCCAAAACCAATAAACTAAAACAAAATTTTACTTTGTCATTTATAATATGGATGATAATCATTTTACAGCAGTGTAAGATCATATCTCAACCGTTGATTTCCGTGCATCCAACGATTATAATTAAGAAGTCATATGAATTAATTAATCATTAATTACACTACAAATACCACCAGATGATTTTCGTCTATCGACGGTTGAGATGCACTGTAAGACTAACTAGAAAGAACCTGCCCCTTATAATATATATATTTGGATAATTCAGATCTCAAGAATTAATCATTAACAAAATGCCCAAAATTATGTTTCAATTTGCCACAGCCAATATTAATCAATGCATAATTATAATGGTTCTAAGCCCAAAAGTTCAACCAAACAAAGATTCAGCTTTCAGCCTTTCACAATTCCAAAAGCTCTAACATCTATTTGTACAAAGAATGTATCAGTGTGTGTACTTGAGATATATATATATATATATATATATATATATATACCTGAAAGCTCCAAAGTCGGTGTAGGAAACAGAGCCATATTCGTTGTCTTGAGAGTTCTTAAGCATGAGGGTAAGTGCTGAAACACAAAGACCAATGGAAACAAGACGCAAAAAGGTTTCAGCTGCACGAAGGGTGCTTGTGTTCTCTTCTGATTCCACAACAGATTCAGTTCCCATCATCAACTGCATGGGAGATCTTGCAGCTGCAACTGTAGTTCCTTTATCCATAATCACTTGTATGGTCTGTATATATAAACTGTTACCTTTTTCTTTTTCTTTTTTGAGTTTTAACAATGCAAGAGATCCATATACTATACCAACTACTACTACTACTAATGCTGGAGCTTTGGGTTAGGCATGTGGGAATTTAATGGGGTGAAAGAAGAGAGTGGGAGAGGTAGGTATGGGGATTCAACTAGCATTCAATGTGATTATGGCAGGCCACATATGTTCCCAAGGAAATTTATGGAGCATTTAGCAGTGCTTTTACTCTTTCACATGACACCACTTAAAGTCACAAGTTGAAGTAAATATATGTGTTACGGATGATGTTATAAAATATATCATAAAATGATGTAGCTCAGTTAGTTGGTGCCACGAGAGTGAATTATTAAATGATACTAGCTCAATTGGCGTTAGAGAATTGAACAGGTGGAGGTGAAAGCATATGTTCGATCCTTCCCATTATTATTTTTTGGAAAGGCTCAAAATCTTAATTTCGGGACTTGCTCTGAATCAGACTAGTCGTGAATTGATCAACCTATTGAAATATCTTAAAAAAAAATCATTAATGAAGATTTACTAACAAAATACAATGATTAAATCAAATGGTTGGTGTTAGTATTCAAGTCATTTTGAACATTATCAATATCTTACAATTATGATCTAAGTTCCAATTCCAATTACTACATGCTTTGTAGAACAATTTTGAATATTAGTAATAGTAAATTCTTCCTTAGACCCCAAGATTCAAACTGCCAAAAAGTAATGGAGTTGATTTTTGGGAGTCACAATCTTGGAAATGACGAAGAGACTTAAACCCAAAAGCACATTAGTTGAATCCATTAGAATTTCGAATATCTGTTAGTATCTAAAAAAAGTTCTCCTCAAAAGGGAGTGAATACTTTCATGTTAAAAATTAATGAATTGATCATGTGTAATTTTTATGTATATTTCTCTCTGGATCTCGATCTTCTCATGTAAAAGAAACATGGCATGGTTATGTTGGAAATCATAATCATACAAAGATGAATCAATGATAATAAAAGAAGAGACAAAAAATATATTTAAATATGTAGTTACAAAATCATAATTGTTGATTCACTTTTGTATGATTGTGATCTTCTCACATGACCATATCATATATTTTTTTCACATGAGAGGATCCAAATTCATTTCTCTCCATATACGTTAAATGAGGTCCAAGTATAATTTATCAACATTCATAAAAAAAAAATATAGACACAAATATTTCACATGAACCTCTCTTGTAAAACTTTAACATGATAATCTTTAAAATCCAAATTTCTAACATTCCAGGTGACAATATAATACCACGTGCAGTTGGGTTGGGATTGTAAAAGACAAGTGTAAAATTATACCTAGAAAAGCGCAAAAACAAAGCCAAAATCTAAATAGTTTGAGATCCTAATTAGCTCACTAATCAAGATAAAGCTAGGTGGTTTTCTTATTTTCCAATGTTTAGTACACTGATACACAGTTAACCCAACCGCAAAACCTATGGCTAAACCGGTGAGAAGAAAATTCATTAATCAATCACAAAAATAAAATAAAAGCAAAAGAAAAATGCATGATTCTTGAATAAACATATCAAAGAATAAAGCCCTTGTTTGTGTTACACAACGAGGATAATTAGAAGTTTAACATGATAGTTAACTCATTAAGCTGATGGATACACTAATACTAATCTTTTTAGATGAGTTATGAACTAGCTAAATATGTTATCTTTTGGGGTTGATTATTTACACGTACAGGACCTTACTTTCAACATGGGTACATAAATAATAATGTTTCATATTAGGTATGCAGTATGCTCGTACATTTACAAAAGATTTATCAAAAGAAAATTAAAAATTCTCTGCTCCCAATCTCCAACGCTTGTTTACGATGGAAGAAATTCAAATTAAACAGGGCTGATAATTTAAAAAAAAATTCAAGATATTCCTTGAATCCTTAAATTTTAACCATGAAAATTGGTTTCAGGTCACGTCATATTTCCATGAAAGTGACGAATCTTGATTAATTATCCTACGTAGTATATGTGAACAATATGCTAAAAAAAAAACCATACATTCATTATATATCCATGTTGGTCCACACTTTGCTCCCACCTTACCTCAACCTATAGACATTAATGTCCTTGATAGTTATTTGTGTGGATGAGTGATATTTGTTTGCTAACGTGTGTGGACGAGAATCATTACCTAAACCAAATGGATGCTCAATGCTGCTGATTTGTTCCACGATGCATATATAATGCACTTGAGATCATAGTAAGATGTTCAACAACATTAGTTCTGAGAGTTTCTTTCATGATTTGATTTGACATTGAATATAAATACTATATCTTATATTTTAGTGACCTTTGTTTTTTCTTGTAAACTATTTTAGTCACTTTTAATTTTACCTATCCTACGTAACCTTCAAAATATATGAAAGGTCATATTATTGTACAGAGTAAAAATTTAAAAAAATAAAAAAATAAAATCAATTTCGTTTTTAATAGGTTCCCAACATTAGAATCTAATTAATTTATTTCCAATTTTTAATAATTTCGAACACATGTATTTATATTTTATTTATTTATCTTTAATAATGTAAAAGATTAATTAATAGTGATATATAGTTTAATTCTTAATAAAAATATTTAGTAGAGGTATTTTTTTTTACATAACAAAAATAGTATAATAAAATGGAAATTTTCCTTTATAATAGTAATAAGTATAGAATTTATAAATGCAATTAATGTGCACTAAATATAAGGATAATGTTCAATAAGCTCGAGGCTTTCGACAAGCTTAATATTTAATCTAACGAGCACTAATGTCGGGGTTAACTAAATCAAGCAGGTAATAATTGAAAATTATATATATTTTTAGGGAGATGATTTTCTGCTATTGTTGGAGAAAAATCATCTTATGTTGTCTCACATTATTTTTTTTAATTTTTTTTTTTAAAAAAATGGTAGGACTCAATATAGGATTGGGTGTGTGACATAAGCAAGGAAGCACAGACACTTGTAAAAACAGGAAGAGTCGAGTCCGACACGGCGACACGTTCTGACACGTTCCGACACGCTCCGACACGGTGTCGGACACGCGGTTGACTTTTTCCGACACGTTGACCATTCCGATACGCGAATTTGACCGTGTCGGACACGGTCAAATGACATTTTCGTAATTTTTTTAAATTTTTTTTAAAAGAAAATATATTAATAAAGCTTCCACCTGATCATATCAATTTTATCTTTTTGTCTTTTTTCCCCTTAAGTAGATAAGAGATCATCTCAGCATTATTGTTGTCGATTCCTATCACGCTCTTGTTGTATCTTCTTCTCTCTGATCTCTCTCTAATATGATTTGATCTCTCTATCTAATATTATATCTCTCTCTCATCCCAGTTTTTATTTTTTTTATTAAAGCTTCCATCTTTATAACGTGTTGATGAGTATTATTAATTTAGTTTCTTTTTTTGTTAAATTATTAAATATTAAATGAAATATACACTATATAAATTAAAAATATTATTTAATATTAAAACGTGTCCCAACGTGTCAAAATCCATAATTTTTTAGGATTGACGTGTCGAAGTGTCGTGTCGTGTCGTGTCACGTGTCGTATCGGTGCTACATAGGACATAAGAGAAAAAATTTCCAGCAACATAAGAAAAGATTTCTCCATTTTTTTAAATGAATCAAAAGAATTATATTTTTTCGAATCAATTTAAAAATTATATATATTTTTAAACCGGTTCAAGAATAAATCATTTTTTTTGAAATCATTTTGGTTTTTAAGCCCAACTTTTTTTCCCATTCAATTCGTTTTGAGCTAAAAACCATACCAAATCAAACCATACTCATTATTGGGAGTACAAAAAAATCAAACGAACCTAATCGAGTTGTGCCACATTTTTCTAAACTAGTTTTATAACCAAACTATTTTCTTCGAATTGGTTCAAGAATTGAATCAATTTTTGAAATCAATTTAGTTTGTCCGAACCGAACCACTTTTCTAATTTGTATAGAAAACCGAATTGGACCGTGCACAACCTTACCCACTCATATGTGATAGCATTGATTGAAAAATGTGAACCAAGTCTTGCTAGATATCGCATAGCATTTCAACAAGATATTTAAATTGTTGAAAATGTACATTATCTTTTGATTAAAACATCTAATTAATAAAAATAAACTTATTGTTATAAAAAATAATGTTAAAATCATTGAGAGGGAATAATCTGTGTTAAAAAAATTATTTTGACAATATTCACAATTTCATGAAATGCATACAAGAAATTGAAACATGCAATAATACATAGTTAAAGCATGTCATACGAAAATATATGAATGCAACAAAGGAAAATCAAAGTCTAGTGTTAGACATTGTGTCCTTAAGATAATTTTGCTCTCTCTATGGTGCCCAAAATTTGTGAACAAATGTCTCACAGAATATAATGAATCAACTTTATTCTTTTGGTGACACTTCCACATTGAATAGCACCATCGAACTCAACTTATGTCTAACCATCACACTAGAGTAATGGAATGCAAATGCAATGAAGAAAAAACTCTCTTAAAGTTCTGATTATCTATTTATTTATAGAAAACGTAAGGTCGTGATTCAAAAGACACCTATTCGACGATTAAATAACACATTCGTTTAACACGAAAAGACACATCCGTTTGACGATGAACAAACACATCTCTTCCATATCAAATTTCTTATTCATAAACATAATTAATTCAAAATTAATTCCAACAATCCCCATATGAATAAGAAGTTCAACAATCGGGAACATATGCATATGAGTCTCAAATGCAATGTGTGATTGATCCTTGAGGAACAACTGCATCTGGTTCGGTGGACGTGATGCCTTGTAACTGGCCCTAAAGAGGCCTATCGAATCTCGGTCAATATATGGATGCGATGTCTTGTAACTGTCGACCTTGTGGGTAAACCAAGACAATAGAAAACACACAATTATTCCTCGGACATGGTTGGTTTTCTACTTGTGTCCATTTTGGGCTTGTGGTTGGTTTTCTACTTGTGTCCATTTTGGGCTTGGACACCTCCTAGTTCTGCAAGTGTGTTAGATAATACAGCCTTGCAATATTCTTATAGAAGTGGCTCTCACTTCACACCCACATAGGTGATTTTTGACAGTGCATCCTAACATACACAGTCTAAACACATCTGAATTAGAAATCATTAAAAGTCTACTTGCTTACCCTTTACTTATGCAATGCCTTGTCTAGAATGAGTATGAAGAAGAGCAGCTAGTTGTTGGGGAACCTCTTGATAAACAAGGCAACCCTTATCCTAAGAGAGAGCTTGCTTCGTGAGACAGTAAGCGCAGATATTTGAGGACCGGGGAATGTAGCTGAAATTAATAGTTTTTTCCAGCCATGCTCGAATGCGATTGACCAAGTGGGAGTCTCAAGCGTCATTGCCAGGATTGGCAAGAAGAAATCTACAGGAAAAGACTCCCTGAACCATCCCTTCCAAATTGGAATAGCCTGGGAGCAATCTTGACAAACATTCAGCAATGATTCAACATTAGAGTAGCATCTATGACAATTAACAAGACCTCCTCCTACGAATTGGAAGACAATCATGCAAACATAACCATATAAAAATGTGTATCCTGTATGGCCCCTTCCAACTCCAAATTATGTTCTGTTTTTCATCTGTCGGCTCATCATTGGAACCCATAATTTGATAATAAGCTGCTCGAACTACTGCGCCACTATTGTTATTCCTATGCCATTTGAGTCCATCTAGGCCATCCAGTGGGTCGAGGGGTAAAATGGCTTAGATGATGGATAATGTATGTTGGTTGAGGTACTTTGACAGGTACACCATGTTCCAATAACCAGTGTCACGGTTAATAGTCACTGCCCCAGTCATGTCTAATTCAACAACATGAGGGGTAGCCCTTGCAGCCTGAAGAAGGGGACTATCAAAGGCTACCCAATTGCCAATCCATAACTTAGTTGTCTCACCATAACAAATATCGCAAAGCGTATTATCCAAGAACTCCTTCCAGATTCCGTAGAGGCTTCTCCAGAACTGTAAATTGTATGCTTTGGCTTGAATACCTCTTTTACGGTCCATACCCCTACCATATTTAGCCAGAAGAACCCGAACCCAGAGGCTATCAGGTTGTGACATAATTTTCCATGCGATCTTGTAGAAGAAAGCTTGGTTGTGCTTGTCGATTATGCTCTGTTAAGAACTTTGAGATATACCACCCTAAAAGCTAGCTCAAAGGGTGGGAGTGCCCAAGGCCTTATAAACTTCACATTAGTTGCACATACAACCAATGTGGAACTATATATCTCAACACGCCCCCTCACACAAGAGCCCATTGGACTTGAAGAGTGGACAATACAACAGGCTCAGCCTACTTGTGCTAAGAAATGTCACAAGAGAAAGTTGGGGGGCAGCGAGGCTCTGATACAATGTTAAGAACCTTGAGATACATCACCTCAAAAGCTAGCTCAAAGGATAGGAGTACCAAGCCTTATAAACTCCACATTAATTGCACATACAACCAATGTGAGACTATATATCTCAACATGCTCAACGCCAAACCTCCCAAGTTCTTGAGCATATATATTTGCTCCCACGAAACTAGATGATATCGTATGGTTCGCTTTAAACATCGAATATGATAATATTATCTTATTGAAATAATTATTTAGTACAAATCAAACAGAATATGAACTTATGAAATTCATATATTTTTTACTTTTATTCAGTTATTTTATCCTATCCAACCTTATTTTACTTAATTCATCAACCGGACTCTAAAGATTTTTACTATATAGGGCAAAACATGAAAATTTCAGACAAATCAAAAGTTATATAAGAAGTTGATATGTACCATAACTTGAGGCTTACCTGCGACACTCAGGATAAAATTCTTCAAGCCTATCCAAAATATAATAGAATAATAGATAGCCGTCCTAAAAAAATAGTATAATAGAAGATTATTCGTTGACTATCAATTACTCGAGTAATTAACGCAAATGGACAATTCAAATTTGGATTTATGAATATTTGTGATTTAAATCAAGTTTTAATATCTTGTACATATATAAATGGATTTGGGATGGATATTTGTAGGTTCAAAACAATTGAGGAAATTTTTTAAAGGAAATTACCAATTTGCCTCTCTTTTCAAATTTTACCATATTGAACATCTGTTGCTCGAGTAATGGACACTTATAATATAGAGTAAATATTCTTTTTGGTCCTCAGCAAATTTCATGATACTCATTTTAGTTCCTAGCAAATAAAAAGGTTCATCGTGGTCTTTAAGAAATTCAAAATAGACCCATTTTAGTTCTTTTAGGGACTAATATAGGTCTTTTTGAATTTATGAGGGACCACGGTTTCAACTAAATAGATTCATTTTAAATTTTTTAGGGACACGATGGACCTTTTTATTTGCTAGGGACTAAAACAGACATCGTAAAATTTGCTGAGGACCAAAAATGATATTTACTCTATAATAAAATAGTTAATAAAACCTCATCCTATGAAATCACACATGAAGATACCTATTCCGGTAAAAAATAACGGACACAGACAATGACTCTCAAGCTAAAATTATTAAGAGGTTGAGATAAAATACGTAAATTGAAAAAAAAAAACATATTGACTTAAACATTATATTTATAAGAGAAGTATCGCTGACATAATATTAGGGCATGAAGCATGCCATAAAACACGAGCATGGTAGTCAAGTGTCGAATTGTAAAACACTAAATAACCACTAGCGTGGGCATACTAATTATTTTAATGGAGATATTTGCTGATAAGTAGTCAAGTGTCGAATTGTAAAACACCAAGGTGGTGTTTGATTGGGAGCTTTTCAGCGGATATCTATATTTCTCAAGTATGTCTTTTAGAAACACCATGTTTGTTTCAACGTATTTTCACCAAAAACCCATCTATCCAATTTGTATGGATTTATGAGAAACATAGATATCCGCACTGTTTAGAAACCCAATTTGAAGGTGAGATTTTTCGGAAAATCGGTTATCTGGCTTTTAATACACTGTTGATTTCATAAAGTTACCTAATTTTCTCAGTAAAATTTTTCCCCACCAAACAACTTTTTTTTTATATTTTTTTACCTATCTTTCCAATCATTTCTCTATTTATTACATTTTCATACTATTCCAAAAAAATTTCGTCAAACAAACGCCCCTAAATAACAACTAGCGTGGGCATACTAATTAATTTAATGGAGATATTTGCTGATAAGTACCCAACAATCAATCAGGTAATAAGAAGGTTTGATTAGCAAAATATGTGTCTGGTAGAATAGAAAAAAGGGAAGACACATTAACAAAAAGGGGTTGAAGTGGGGGCCATATTGCTCTCAAAAGGAAGATACCAATTGCGTAAACAATGGGCGCCGCGCATGCTCATTCATTCATTCCCCACAAACACAAACCCTATCTCCGTTACATTGAGTTACAATTCAACTCATAACAACTGTTACAAATCCATGTCAACACCTTCGACCTTATCCAAAGTCCTTGGGAACTTCACTCTCCACGCGCTCTTCTTATGAGTTATGTCCCCTTCCCTCCCACAATTGTTCTTTTATTTAATATAAATTATCCAATTTGCTATTTTACTTGTTCAAACTTATCAAATTATATAATTTGATAAGATAAGAATGTTAAAACTAATTCTAACATTTTAATCCTTTTCTGTCTTGTTCTTGACTGAGATATTAGGCCTCATACATTACCCAAATTTTTAGGTATCATCTTAAGATTATTATGCATTAAATTAAATTTTCTAGAAGATGTCCATTACTTTCGGATTATAACAACGATAATTTTCCTTAATTTGTTATAATTATACGATATTCACTCTCAGATTCGAATCTAATTAAATATAATCAAATTTCAATTATGTTGTTTTAGGTATGAGAACATTTATATATACACACACTTAATATCGTCATTAATCATCAAATAAGTAAATCGTCAACATAACAGATTATTGGATATCTATACCAAACATGTTAATAATTATTTTCCCATAATTTTGCTGCTTTTAGTTTTCTACAAGAACTTTATTAAATCATTTTATTTCAATGGATTTGTACAAACTATTAGAGAAAAGGTAAATTTTCCAAAACTAAAAAATATTCTATAGTGAAGAATTTTCAAATTAAATTTATGATTTTGATATGAATGCTGATAAGTCACGCGTTAAAGAGACGCGTTGAGTTTTGCATACATAATATAAGGCATAAAGGGAGTGCCATATTTAGCTAGGTAGAAGGATGATAGGGTGGGTGTCGAGGGGGACACGCGAGATCGTATTCGGATAAAGCCGAATCTTACTATTTCTTTCCAAAGAAGAATATTAACAATAAACTATAGGATAAAAGTGAATGCAAAAAAATAAAAAAAATAAAAAAACATTAATCTTATCCACCATCCTATACATTTTCTTATAAATAATCTAATATCTTCCATATCTTCCATTCCATTTGTGGTTCTTAGAAAAAGGTTATTGCTCATAGTTGTCAAAGTGCTAGCCAGGTATAAATTGTTGTATGGTGGTTGCTCCATTGAGAAGGGTAAAGGGTTGAGGAAATAAAACACGTAAAAGGGTATCTGAAAAACAAATTAGAAATGGAGCAGCTTATGAACAAAGCCATGATTGATGCTCATAAGATAGGAACAGTTCATGAGTTTGATATTGTTGGTTCTTTTTCTTCTTCTTCATCTTCTTCTGTTTCTGGAATTTCAAGTGGGTCATCATTGGAATCTGATTCTTTTGAAGAAGTAACATCCCCAGCTTCTTCTTCTTCTTCTTCCTCATCAGATCATCAGCTTTCAGCTGATCCATTGAGTGACATGTCTTCTCTCTTTGAACAACTTCCCATAAAGTAAGCATCTTTATTTATCTCTCTTTATGTGTTTTGATTTTCTCTTCTTTTTTTGTGAGATTTGTGTTTCTGGGGTGTTTGTTTTTCCTTTCTGAATTTGCTAAAGTTTGTTTCTTTTGATAATGATAAAGGAGGGGGCTTTCGAAGCACTACCAGGGAAAGTCACAATCTTTCACTTCATTAGCAAATGTGAAGAGCTTGGAGGATCTTGCAAAGGCAGAGAACCCTTACAATAAGAGGTTGAAATCTTGTAAAAGTTATGGAGGAAGGTTGGCTGAGAGCCACAAAACAAAGTGCACTCATAGTAATACTATGTCAAGACATGGTTCTAAGAGAGGATTGCATTCAGCATGTTCAAGGGGTTCAAGGGGTAGTGCTAACTTCATGAGGCCACCAATACCCACTCATAGATCTACAAGTACCACCAACATCACTAATCAAACAGCCTTGTTTGCTTGAAAGGGGATTATGTGATGTTTTTGTTGAATTGAGTTTTTTCTTTTTTTGTTGTGATTTGCGGAGGATCATTTGATGTATATGAATTAGTTTCATTCAATGAAAACTTTTTGAGAGAAAAAAGAAAGAAAAGAGTACCATCCATACACCTAATATTGATTATTTTTTTAAGAAAATTTGCAATTGTTATTCACATGTGCAATTTCAACGCAATTGGTTTCTTTTTTTTCCCCTTTTATCAGAGTTCCACCAAAAATGTTATTTAGAGGTTGAACACATGTCAAAATGAACTCGGCCTCATAAACCAAAAGGGAAAAATGAACTAATGTATGACCGGAAGAGTCGGGTCGGGCTAAACCGAATTTTTGTCGGGACATTGACCAGTGTCACCTTTTTAACTTTCAAAAAGTAACAATACGGTCATTGTCCCATATTTGTCTTCCTACTTAAATATGAAATCAATTCGGGCCCAAGTTCACAGGCCCGATTATATATCCCGGATCTACTTTTCTTTTTCCTCGCTTCCAATGTCATTTTTTTGTTGGTGATAATTTTACTTCTTATATATAAAAAGGAAAATCAAATCATACGCTTATGTTGCTTAAGATAGATCTCTCATCTCACTTTTTCTTTGAAAAATGTGCTTTTTTTTTTAAAAAAAAAAGTTAATAGAATTCATTTTATTTATCTCTTAACATGAGACAACTTCTCTCATATTACATTAGAGAAATAATCCCCATATAAAAGTAGGGATTTAGTTTTTTTGTGTGAAAATTGGTAAGTGAATTTTCCTACATACCTAAATATTAGTGAACCCCATTACTTTATAAAATAGTAAAAAAAAGGAAAAAAAACTCAATTTTTAATGTTTTAGCAGGAAATACTATTCATTAGGAATGTTCATCAACCGAACCAAACCGATTCAAACCGCAATAACCGAACCCAAAAACCGATAACCGAATAACTCGAAAACCGAAAAATCGAAAACCGAAAAATCGAAAACTGAAAAAAAACCGCAAATTTTAATTGAATTAGATCGGTTTTCGGATTGAGTGATGAAAACCGATCCAATCCAAACCGATCCAATATATTAATTCTTCTCTACCTACTTGGGTCTTTCCCCAATCATATCCCACAAATTTTTAAACTTAAGACCCATTAACCCATCAACTAAATCTAAGAAAAAATCTAGTCACATCTTATCAACAAAGTTTTATCTGTGTAGAGCTTCATATCTCATTGCCGAAAAAATTATATATATATTATTGTTTACTAATGTTTTTGTATTTCAAAAGAAAAAAATTTACAAAGTCAATATATACAAAAGATGTTATTTGCACAATAATTATGAAACAAATTTAGGAATTTCAAAAAACCGAAAACCGATCCAATCCAAACCGAAAAAAATTGGATTGGATCGGATTTGATTTGAAAAAAAATCCAAACCGAATGGATGATTACATGATCAAACCGAAGGGATTGGATCGGATGATTTTTGCTCCCAAAATCGATCCAATCCAGACCGCAAACACCTCTACTATTCATTCTTTCTGTGCAAGAAGAATAGTATTTTCTATAAAAATATGTAAGGTTACGTGAGAAAAAATATGATTTATACGTGTTTAGAAAATAAAATTAGTTTTTAAGAAATATTAAAGGTTTAATATTTTTATTTTTGTTGCAGAAATTTTTTTTTATCATATTTATAAAAGTTAATGAATTTTATTATAAAAAAAAAAAGAAATTAATGGGAACCAATGACTTTTATATTAGTTGAAAAAAAAAACAATTCGGCAGAAATATTTTTTCCAAATACTAATTACTTATTAATATGTGATTGAAATAACATATGTCCATATAACTGTATATGTCAACCACAAGCCCCGCGGTGGCCACGCACTGTATAAGGGAGGAAGTGGATAAATAAACTACACGAAACTTCCGAGACACAACTGGTCCGGATTTTGATAAGATAAATGATGGTTGTTATTATTGGTGTTGATCGATTGGTGTTGATCGATTAATACATACCATTTCAAACTGTGAGGATAGAATAAAAAATTGATAATCGAATTATTTAAAAAATAAAAAATTGAAAAAAATCACAAATTTTAATTGAATTAGATGAATTTTTTATTTGCTTGATCAAAATCGATCTAATATATTAATTTTTTCTATTTACTTGACTTATTCCTCAACCGTAGTCTAAAAAATTTCAAACCCAAGACTCATTAATCCATTAGCTAAATCCAAAAAAATTTATTGGTTCATTCTAGTAAGTTTTCTTTACTATTTATCATTGTGATTTCAACCTTTGGATATGATACCACAAAAGTATGAAATTTTTGCTACATAAATATAGAATTTAAATTGAGATAAGGATTTATTTTTATTTGTTTTATAATTTTCACGTTAATGTGCTACTACTATAAAACTTACATGTTAAAATCTGAAATAAAAAATTGTTTTAAGATTTCTCTATATTAGTAATTGAGGGAGTAATTTTTCTTACTTTGTTATTATCTAATTTTCCTTCTTATTCAAGAGGTGATAGATGCTTAAAATCGAGTTTACCCAGTTTTAACTTTTTGTTGTACTATATTGAAAATTAGATTATCCTTTACTGATACTTCTAGATTGCACAGTAATTAATTATACAAATTTTACAAAATAAATACATACAAAAAATATGTTATTTGCACAATAATCGTCACACAAATTTTAGCCTTTCGAAAAATCAAAAATCGATATAATTCAAACCAAATAAAATTGGATTGAATCGGATCAATCTTGAAAAAACAAAATCCAAACCAAATGAAAGATAATTACATGATCTAATCGAAGGGATTGAATCAGATGATTTTTACTTTCAAAATCGATCCAATCCAGACCTCGAACTCCACTAGTTTTTATAAAAGTACAAGATCGAAATATTAATAAATAAAAATGATTTTTCTTACCAATTTTTTTTATATAATATACTTATATATGATTTTGTAAAATCAATTATTAATTTTTTTACATATTAATATATTATTTTTTATTTCAAATTATAAAAAGAATCTAAAAGTCATAAAAATATATTACATTTCGTAAATTACTTATAAAATTTTTCAAAATAAAAAATTATATCATTATTAAAAAGATTAAAAAAATTAATTTAATTTTCAATATGTATATATGTAACACAGTAAAAAAGATTTAACTAATATCAATATAAAAAAATCATTTCACATTCACATGCAATACAAAATCGCTCACATCCATAAGAGTTTCAATGATTTTAAAGAGAATTGGGGAAATGATGGATATGAGTGATTTGAGAAGGAGGGAAATAAGAGGTGTTAGTGAGTGATGATTAGAATGAGGGGTATTTATAGGCATAACAGCGCCTATAAGACACAGTATAAAAGGTGCTACAAGAGGAGAAGGGATAAAAGAAAAAGTGAAAATGTGCGAAGGGAATGGTGTTAATATATTGACCACCTCTCAAAACTCAATTACGTCCATCATTGACCTAAACTCATTTATTGGGTGAAATAACACTAGTTGGGTCAAACAACCCTTTAAGTTAGTTTATTTAGTGAATGAAATAATTGTCAACTATGTCATGCACATTGTGCACAATATTTGGATATAGTTTGAGATTTGTTGCTTATGGAAAGTTAATAAGAAAAATTTAAATACAGATTTCACATAGGTGATGGTTAGCCGGTGACGATGGTAATGGAGGCTAGTGCTAGCAACGATAATGGGGGCCAATAATGATGTGCTAGTTCGTACTGTGAAGGGTCCAGTCCTTGGTCGATTGTGGGACCACATTGAACTTTATTCGGTGGGTGAGCAGCTTGCACTCAGGTTGAGCTTTCCACGAAGGAAAAGGAGGTTGGAGGTGGGGTCGTTGGCTTTTAATCGGTGGGTTGACTCCTCCTTTTGGTTATCCATCTGCCACGTCCAACATCTCCTAACTTGGTAATAAATCTGCTGGTGGGGTTACTTATTTCTTACTTCGAACATTTACTTCGGTTGGTGACTATTTATTGCATCCTTGGTGGTCTGTATTTATTTGTTCTTTTGTTCTCCCTGAAATGGGGAAGAACAAAAAGAAAAAGCTAAGTCCCATTGTGCAGGGTGTCGTTACAGCTGCTGAGGATGTGGTGGTTAGCCCCACATTACAGGTACCAAGCTCTTCGAATGTCTTGCCAGTTGCAGCCCAAGTGTTCGATGAAAGTCCCAAGCTAGAAGACTGTTTTAAATCTGATGCTTCTTCAAAGGATTTGAACTCCAATGATGTGAGTCCTAGCCCCCAACAAGCAGTAGCTTCTGAGCCTTCTGTGACGCTAGGAGTGGAGGATTCCATTACTGAAGAAATGGAGGGCAACTTTAATGGAACTGGTGAATCCGAAATTCAGCAACCAGTTCTACCAGCAGCTCCATGGGCCAATCTGTTCAAAGATAATAGATCAGAGGAGAAAGGCCACCAGTGGAGCGATGACATTGGACCTTCAACTGCAGATGACAAGGTCATACTCGAATTTGGAGATGTCCAGGCCATTGATGTACCATCGGCTTCTGTTTGATTGGATATATAGCTGGAAAATTTCCAGGCCTTAAAGCGTTGCTCAATGTCTGTAGGAGATGGGGAGTCAAGTATTCTTATTCTCCTCACTCTAGTGGCTGGTTAATATTCAGATTTACAACCGAAGAGGATTTGAACAAGGTTCTTCAAGCTGGGCCTTATTTTGTGTTTAAGAGCCCTTTACTACTTAAATCAATGCCCCCTTTCTTCCATTTTGGTGATGAGGAGCTTAGTAGAATTCCCATTTGGATCAAGCTTAGGAACCTACCTTTGGAGCTTTGGAGCAAAAAGGCGCTTGGCAAGATCCTTTGCAAGATAGGGAAGCCCTTGAGAACTGACCATCTCACTGCCACTAGAGGTTCAATTTCTTTTGCTCGTGCCTTAGTGGAGGTTGATGCTTCCAAAGATTTAACTCATGTGGTGCTAATCCAACTGCCAGATGGTAATGAGCTTAAACAACCGGTGGAGTTTTGAGAATGAACCAACTTTCTGTTCCTACTGCAAGACTATATGACATGAAGTGGGTTCTTGTACTTATGCACCCAAAACAAAAAATTCGGTGGAGGCACCTATTGAAACATAACACGCAGTAGCTTCTCAGTTAGATGTCTAGCAACCTGAAGGCATTTTGGACCATTCAAAATCAGATGCTCTGAAGGTGGGGGATGGCTTTACTGTAGTCTCTTCTAAATCAAAAAGGAAGAAGCTAAGAACCAACCTGAGGAAGCTGTACACATCCAAGCTATCGGGTAGGCCCTTCAAGACAACTAAAAAGGTGATGCAGGTCCTCTCTTTGCCTAGTACTACTGACATTCCCTCTGCTACGCTTACTGGTACATCTGGGAATTTGAAATCATCAATAGCACCTTCGAACATTGCTGATTGATCATCTAGCAGAAATATGGCAGCAGCTCCTAATGACTCCGTTTCCAAGTCAAAGCTGTCTGGGAGTATTGCGCTTACTGAGAAGTTAAAGCTACCTGTATCTCTTGCGAAGAGTGCTACCACCTCCCCTCATGCTAATAAAACCCACCATTTGGGTGCAGCTCTTGACAGTGGACATGCTGTAAAGGCGCATGCTTCTAAGGTGAAGAAGCTTAAGCCAAAGATTTTTGGCAGCAACAAGGATAGCAACAGCAGCTCTCATGCCTTCATGATAGTGAACAGAGGACCTAAAACCAATACTTTTTCTGGTGTGGGGGATCCGTTCCCTTCTCCATCTTTATGATCATCTCTTCTTGGAACATTAGGGGCTTCAATATGCCCCTAAAGCATCGTATGATGCAGAATTTTATTACTTCCAAAGGGATAGATATCATGGCCATCTTGGAATCTAAGCTTGATATTGCTGCTGTAAATAACATTATGCATAGGAAATTCGAAGATTGGAAATTTGCTCATAATCTGGGTTCCCACAATGCTGGCAGAATTGTTTTACTATGGAATGCTAACAAGTCCAAGTTAGTTGTGTTATCTTGTACAGCACATACCATCCATTGCTCTTGTGTATGCAATGATTCCAACATAGAGTTTCTTGTCACCTTTACATACGGTCTTCATTCAATCTCTGCCCGTAAAGCTATGTGGGCTACATTGGTGAGTCTAGCTCCTTCAAGTGACATCCCGTGGCTAATAATGGGGGACTTCAACAACATCACCTCTCCTCTTGATCGGATTCATGGTGCGGATGTGTCGGCCTATGAGATTAAGGATTTTAATGATTGCTGTACTGAGCTGGCCTTGTCCAACCTCAATGCTCATGGATCATTTTTCACTTGGTCTAATGGGAGGATTTGGAGCAAAATAGACATAGCTGTGTGCAATCTTAGCTGGAACGCTAATTTCATCAACTCTACCTGTGAGATTACGGGGTTCCAATCCGTGTCTGACCATGCGGCCTTGATCATTAATACCAATGCTAATTGTGGGAAAGCCAAGCAGCCCTTCCGTTTCAACAATGCCATTGCGGCACTCCCCCAATTTTTGGAGGTTGTTTCATCAGGTTGGGACAAGCAATTCAGGGGCTGTAAAATGTGGATGGTGTGTAAGAAGCTTAAAGAGCTTAAGGGTCCTATTAAGTCTCTTGCAAACTTGGAGATTAAAGGGTTGTCTTTAAGGATTGACAAAGCTGAGTTGGAGTATAATAATGTTCTCCTTGCTCTCCAACAGGTCCCCAATGACCCGAACCTATTATGCTTGGCAGATACAAGCAGGCATCAGATCATGAATTTGCGCAAGGCTGAGCATTTCCAAACTGCTCAAATTATGAAAAATAGGTATCTTATCCAGGCTGACCGTTGCACAGCCTTCTTCCATGCGTACATTAAGAGGACTAGCCATGCTCGGTTCATTGCAGCCATTACTCTTCAGAATGGCCAGTCCACGTCTTCTCAGCCTCAAATAGTCGAGGCTTTTGTTAGCTACTTCAGTGAGTTGTTCCATGTTATTGATACTGATTGTCTCCTTTTTCAGCCATTTGTGAAGCAGGTCCAAAGGTTCCAAGCTCTTGTTATAACAGCCTACTAGCTCCGGTTTCTAAAGTGGATGTGTGGAATATTTTATCTTCTATGGATGATAATAAGTCTCCTGGTCCAGATGGCTACAGCTCCAGGTTCTTCAAAAAAGCTTGAAGCATTGTGGGGGATGATATTTATGATGTTGTGAATGAATTCTTTGTGTCTGGGAAGTTACTCAAGCAAATTAACCATGCTTTCATTGTTCTCATTCCCAAGACTGACCAGGCTAGTCAGGTGAAGCATTTTAGGCCGATATCTTGCTGCAATATCTTGTATAAGATTATTTCCAAGATTCTTGCCTCCCGTATTGCTCCTGTTCTAGGATTGATTATTGGCCCTTTTCAGTCTGCTTTTTTGAAGAACAGGAACATGATTGATAATATCTTCCTCATCCAGGAGCTGTTGAGAAAGTATTCCAGGAAAAGGATTTCTCCCTGTTGCCTTCTGAAAGTTGATCTCCATAAAGCATATGACTTCGTTTCTTGGAAATTCCTCAATTGGATGCTCATATCAATTGGGTTTCCTCCTAGATTCAGCGATTGGATAATAGAGTGTGTAACTACTACTTCGTTCAGTGTGGTAGTTAACGGGGCAATCCATGGTCACTTTAAAGGTGGTAGGGGGCTGAGACAGGGTGATCCCCTCTCACCTTATCTGTTTGTTCTTTGTCTGGAGTACTTATCTAGAGATCTCAGTGGCCTTAGAGATAATATAATCTTTCAGTTTCATCCTGCCTGTTGTGATCTGAATATTTCCCACTTAGCTTTTGCGGATGATATTATGCTATTATCCAGGGGAGATGTGCCTTCTATTACCACTTTATACTCTAGGCTTTCTCACTTTTGTGCTGTATCGGGTCTTTCTATCAGTTCTGATAAGTCAGCTATTTACTCTGCCGGCATGGATCTTGATTCTTTATCGGAGGTGCAGCGTCTCACTGGGTTTGAGTTGGGAGCTTTCCCGTTCAGGTATCTTGGCGTGCCTCTGCTCTCTTCTAGATTAAATGTCATTCACTATGATCCACTTTTATCTCGGATTTTGGGCCTTGTGCAAAGTTGGAATAGGAAGACTCTGTCTTATGCTGGGAAGCTTGAGCTCATCAGAGCCGTCATCCAGGGCATTACTAATTTTTGGATGGGTATTTTTCCTCTCCCAGTCTCTGTTATAAATCGGATCAATGCTATCTGCCGGAATTTCTTGTGGGGAAAACCGAACAATTGTATGTCTAAGCTGCTGGTTGCCTGGGTGGATATTTGTTCTCCTAAGCATGGAGGAGGCCTTGGTCTCTTCAGCCTTAAGGAGTGGAATCTTGCATTGCTTACTAGGACTTTATGGGACATCCATACCCAAAAAAGATTCTTTATGGATTAAATGGGTACACAACCAGTATCTTCAGGGGGGAAATATCTGGGACCACGCTCCATCTTCTGCGGATTCACCTTTGTTCAAGAAAATAATTCTGATTAGGAATATTATCTTGGACCGTGAGCAACATAAGGATGGGGCGCTGCATGTTCTCGGGTCCTGGGCGCATAACAGTACCATTGATGCTAGTAAAGCTTATGCATATTTCAGATTGCCTAAGCCGAATGTTTATTGGCATAAGGTAGTTTGGAACACAGCTCTCCCCCCCAAAGCTGCGTTCATCTTTTGGTTAGCCATGAAGGGCAAGCTACTTACTTTGGACATAGCTCCTTTCTTGGAGATGGATCCGGTTTGCCCCCTGTGCAGCACGGTTGAGGAATCACATGCTCACTTGTTTTTTCTTTGCCCCACAGTCATCCGCGTTTGGAAGGAGGTGCGCGATTGGTCTCCTATTACGCGGAGCTTTGTCTCTCTTCAGGGGAGTGTCAGCCATCTTGTTCGCGCGAGAGCTCTCTCTGGCACCTTGGGGAAGACTCGTTGCCTTGTGATAGCACTGACAGTTTATTGTGTCTGGTTGGCTAGAAATAAGCTAATTTTTGATTATGTTCCCTTTTTGGTTGATGATGTTACTAACAAGATTAAATTTCTTGTTTATAGACACGCTCATCTTTCTCATTTGTATTAGGCACATGCTCATAGTGGACTAGCTTTGGCTCTTGCACTGAGTGCATATGTCTTATTTTGATTTTGAGGGGTATGCCCCGTCTATTTTGTATATCTCTTTGGGTTAATATATATTTACATTTTTCCCAAAAAAAATAATGATGTGCTAGTTGGTGGTGGTTGTTGGGTGGCGGCTAGTGGCAATAGTGAGGTTAACTCTCACATTCTGAGGGCTTTAAGATGCAAATGACTATGTCTAGGAGAAGAGTTTCTTATCATATCCATTTGAATCCTAACCTAAGGTTCTCCTATTATAGTTTATCAAGCAACATGTAGGAAAAATGAATCAACAAATTAAGTTTGTCATATCTTGTTGGATAACCATATAATGAAAATAGGAGTTGAACATAGATCACATAATATGAAATAAGAGACAACAACCACTACATCAATGACCCATTTGAGATACTTTTTTTTGGTATATTGGTCAGGGTAAAAACCCCAGCAGGCTAAGGAGAAGAAAAACAACGAGTGTTACCAACACCACCTATATCAGCTAAGTACAATAATAAAATACCCGAGGGGATGGGGGAGACAGAAAAGAGCAGAAGTCTTCATGTGCCAGATTAACCAAAGGTAAATTTGATAGCCAATCCGCACAGCAGTTTCCTTCTCTATACATATGCTTTATCTTCACTGACCACTTCCTGTTTATCCATGCCCATATGCGAGTAACAAAATTGTTGGGAACTTGGTTCCCTTAAACTCGGCTAAGAAGCCTTTGTAAAAGTCAAACGTCGAGCTAGGAGCTCGGCTCTTCAATTAGGCGTCAGCTTGAATCACCAGGGTGGCCAATGCAGCGAGAAAATGAAAAAACACATAGGAGAGAGAAAGAGAAGAACACAACAAAATTTAACGTTGAAAAACCTTCTCCACTGAGAAGAAGTGAAAACTCACGGGACACTAGTCCATAATCAAACTTCCACTATGAAAATAATGAGTTAAAAAAAAATCAAGCATCATCAACAATGGTGGTAGACTCAAACTTCACCTACAATGGTGTTTTTTCTCAAACTTCCCTAAGGAGTTATAACACTCAAGCTTCTCCCTCGAGGTGCTCTCAAAATCAAATCTTTGAGTTTTTCACTCAAAACCCTCAAATCTCACAAGTTAACCTTTTTCTTTCTTTTTGTCTAACCTACCTCCATTCCAAAACTAATGTATTTATAGGGAAATAAAAAGGTTTAGGATTTTAGGATTTCTTAGATCCTCATGGGCTTTGAGCTTAGCATTAAGGAGGAAGCCCAAGAAAAATGATACTCACAGGATAGCTCGCCCCTTTTGGGGAGCCATGTGACTGCCGTTGTCGAGTCACTTTCTATAATCACCTTCCTCCAACCTTCTTCTCGAGCCAATTGAATTTCCTGTAATATACCACACAATTCCCTTTAAAATACCTTTTAAATAATTTTTTATTCATTTATTTTAATCCTTATTGAAGGTGCATTGCACTTGAAATCTTTGATTAAAAAAATATTTTTTATTATTTCAACCAATAATTACGGTTTCATTTGAATAATCTCAAATGAATTATAATTTATAAATTTTAATATATTGTAGGTTGCAAAATAGGTCTAATATGTCGGTTTGGCCTGTTTAACCCGTCATTTATCCCTTAACTCACTTTAACCCACCTTGCTTAAGTACGGGTCAAAATAGATACAACCCGCGACAGGTAATGGTGTAAATAGGTTAGGTCGGCCTTCAGCCTAACCTATATTAGGTCAGACTTGGCCTATTACAAATAATCAAATAGAATAGGTCAAGACTTTTAAAAAAACTTATTTAGAAAGCAGGTCATAGACCTTTTTGTACATCTTGGGCTTATAAGCCTAATGACTGACCTATATCATATTATTTGTTTGAAATAAAAAAAAATATTATTTTTATAATTTTGAATAGTTAAGTAATATTATTTTAGTTTATTTTTTAATTATTGAATGTTTATTAGGCTTAAACAAGCTGACAAGCCTAGGCTAAGACTTTTATTTTTTAAATATAGGCCAGACTTGTAATTTGAGCCTATATAGGCTAACCAGTCAAGACAGGTCTAAGGTTTTTTACACAAATTTGACCTATTTAAGTCAAAGTCTAACTTAGCCTAACCTATTTACATCCCTAGCGGTAGGACAAGTTAACCACCCAAGTTGATTTTTTTTTTTTTAAATATTAATTAATATTTTTTTTATATATTTTTTATCTTCATTTGATACCTTTTACATGTATCAGAAGTATGACTTTTGAAAAAAAATTCACTTTATTATTATGTTGGCGGGGTGGGATGGGGTAGGTTGAAAATTTTAACCCACTTTTAAAAGCAGGACGGGTCGGGTCGTGTTTCCCGCTTTGCCACCTCTATGTAAAGTAATGTATAAAAATTCTATAATATTTAAAATTAACTTTCAATTATAAAATTCTTTTTCCCCTTAATCTTTAAACCTACTTTAGAAAAAATGGTTTATATTATTATATAGGACTTAATATTTCTCCCGTTATTGAAAATAACTTATCTTTAGTGAATATAAATTGATGTCGTTTTAAGATTTAAAAAAGATAATTTTATAATTCTAATTCATTATGGTGTTATATTAGTCTTTATTATTAATTTTTTTATTTTAAGTTCATAAAAAATATTAAACCCTATTTTATATATGAGGTCGCATTTTCTCCTACTATAGAAATGGAAAATTTTCTACGAATGATACAACCAAGTGGGATCCATTGAATAAAGTGGTTGGCAGGTATTTCGATCTTTATAGAGGAGAAAATTTGGTTTTCCTATAATACCAGACTTATGTGTATTTGTGACATATATATTAGATGAAAAGTTAGATAAATTTTTGAGTTATTACGTTTAATATTCTAACAAACACTTTTATAGTTGAATTTGAATGTGGCAATATCAAAAGACCATTCATTAGCTTAATAGTATAAATATAAATAATTATTCACAAAATTAACACACACACATATATAAACATATATTTAATGCATCGTATTTTTTTTTTTTGTAATAATGCATCGTATTTAATCTCAATAATACTATAACTATACCAACAATAATTTGGTAAAGAATACGAAAAGCCAACTACTCACTGGGTTGGAAACAACTAATCATAAACAACACTAAAATGATGATATATTGCGAAATATTGAATGATTATTTCTTTTAATAGAATAATTAATAAGAATAAAGATTTTTTTTTTTTTGGTAAATAATAAAGAATTTTTTTTAGTTCAATCGAAACTCTACTTCAGATATAAAGTTTTGTACGTGTGGGCGTAGTGAGTACTTGACTGTCCTAAAAGTAAATATAAGAAGATGAGTTTGTTATATAAAGACGAGTTTGTTAGATAGTAAATATAAGAAGAAAAAAGTTTAATATAAAAATTAAAATTGAAAGTGATTAAAATTTATTTATTTTTTAAATAAAAAAAGAGGTGCTAATTAACGGTGAAATATTTTGTATTAACGAAAAAGAAATACAATAAAAAATCGTGGCTAGCCAAATTAGCCACGTTCACACTATAATTAATCATAGCATTGCAATAACTTGGCCACGTTAATTATCTCATTTGGCTACTGCTTTCATGAACGTCGAAATTTTTTTTCAGCCACAATATATCCTTATTTAGAAACTAAAATGACGTCGCTATTTGTGTGTATTATATTTGAAAAGAATAAAAGAATATGCCTACTAAAATTCATATATGAGAACATTGGGTTCCTTCTGATAACCGTAGTGACTTTTTCTCTATGGATCTTCACCTATGAATTCAGACAAATCTAGGATTAAAAGGTCCGTTTCAAACTGATCGAACTTGGCCTTTGTATTTTGGGGTGATAGCTTGGTGTTTGTGAGGAGAAAGAAATAAGGCGATCTTTGATCAAACTAGTACCTCAAAGTATGGTCTCATTAGGCGCATTACCTACACTTGTGATAATATTCAATTGGCTAATGAAACCCTTATTAAGATTGGTCATCAGGAACTTAGAAGAGAGGAACGTCTTATTACTGGAATTTCCCCTTTTGAGGGTTATGTTAAACTTAATATGGATGGTTCCAGCATAGACAACGGGCAAATGACTCCATGTGGTGGAGTCATAAGGGATGCTGCTGGGAACTGGTTAACTGGTTTTACAAAATTCCTTGGGAGTGGTACTTCTACTTTAGCGGAAATTTGGGGGTTCTTGACAGGTATGGATCTGGCTTGGCATAAGGGATTTAGGAGAGTCTTTGTGGAGGGTGACTCCAAAGTGGCTTTGTAATTTATAAGAAAAGGGTGTGACGTAAGTCATCCTCTTTCTGCTTTAATCATCCGAGCTCGTAGCATGCTTCAAAGAGACTGGATTATTCAGCTTAGTCATACTTATACAGAAGACAATTTTGTTGCTGATTGGCTTGCTACTCATGCACCTCATCAGGATGGACAGCTGATTGTGTTGGATGTCCCTCCAACGGTTTGTTTGGAATTGCTTCGTAATGACTTGAGAGGAGTTAGTCTCCCAAGATTGTGCTCAATATAGGGCTTTTTTTTATGTTGTTTTAGTTTTCATTGTATTTCCAAAAAAAAATCATATATGATAATATGAATTATTAGGATATTATATTTGTTCTAATAAATTTTTGAAAAATGTTGACATGATCACTTAACTTGAATGATCCAATTATAATTGAACTGGATATGTTAAGATTTGATTTACCCGACACAACATAACCTAATTCAATTTCTAATTTTATCCAAAGCTAGCCGAACCTAATCCTTGTGAGTTGTGACCCCTAAATAGGTTTAGTGGTTCTTTAGGTTTTATTTAGCGAGATGTCTTGACTTATTTAATTGTAAAGATAAGCACAAGAACGTAAGGAACTTACTTTTGTACACAACAAAACATTCCTTTTAAATTTTAAAAGATGAAAAAATCTTTAATAAATTTTAAAATTAGATTGATAATGTGCTAATAACATGGGACCTAACAAATACTTTTTTTTTTTTTTTTTAATAAGGAACAATTTGAGCAATAACAAACTCTATATCAATTGTTCCCCAAAGAAGCTGGTTATCGGTCAACTATAGTTGACAAGATTTTCATTGGACGATACGTAAATTCAGATTTTGAATTTGACAATGTTTTCCTTAAAATTGGTCACCTCTTATTTTAGTATTATTATTATTATTTTTGATACAATATTATTCGGTCTTATAGTTCTTCAATTCTTAACAATAGAAACTAGTTGGGGATGATTGATTACAAAGGAACACAAAATTAAAAGAAAGAAAGGATAGAATAATTGGACTTGTGAGCATTTATATATGCAAATATCACAAGCACAACTTGTTAATTGGTCAAAGACAGATGCACGAATAAACGAATATGAGAAATTGTACCAAAAAGAGACAAAGCAAAATCAAAAGCAGCCTCAAGCTGGACCAGCTGTGGCGGTGGTGGGGTCAGCACTACACACAAAGAACACAGAATACTTATCTGTACCACTCACTACACACAAAGAAGAAAGAACACAGAATACTTATCTGTACTAGCCATGTGCAAGGGTTTAGCACACAGGTTGTACTAAAAAAAAGACATCACAAAAACCTAACACTACAAAGGGAAACTGGGTCCCAAAGCATGTTCCTACAATTATTTTTTTATGGTTAATATTATCCTTGTTTAGTTTGGTTAGGTCGGCTAATTGTTCTTGCTAAATTGATATAGTTGGTGGCAAGGAAAAAGATATAAAATGGGAAGTTGCTGACAATATCTTAGTTGGGAATTCATATATATATATATATATATATTTTTTTTTTTTTTGTAAATTGGGAATTCATATTTTAGGTGGTAAAGAAAAGTCGTGTTTTTATTCTTAGAATTGGTTTAATTTATAGGAACCCAAATGATTTTTTTCATGTGAGGTTTAAGTTCTATTTTTGTTAGAAACAATTTCCTTTAAAAATTGTTGATATAACGTCAATGATTGAAGGCGTCTTTTTTTTTTCTTTTTTCTTGTTGGTAGAAGGCGTCTTTTAAATTAAAATAATTGAAGGCGTCTTCAACTGGTGTTTCCATTATTCAGGCAACTGAAATTTAATTAGTTTGATTGAGTTGGTTTATTTTTATTTTAGTGTAAATTAATTGAATTAATAATGTTTTTTTATTAATTTATACATTTTATATTATATATTGGGGTAGTAAAGTAAAATAATTAATTCTAAGTAAAGTTAAAACTCCTATAATGTATTATGTTAAAAACCAATTTAATCAATAATAAATTGACAATATCATATATTATTTAAAGAGCATTAAACCAAGCTATTTGACAGATTAATTTCCTTTTATAATATACTAAAATAACAATATCAAACTGTCAATATATTCGAATTCAACTTAATATGACAAAAAGTAAAAAATTATCACGAAAAATTTATATAGTACAAAACAAAGGGAGTGGATTCACTTACTACCAAAAAAGTTTACAATTTTTACAACCAATTTAATCATCGTTAATTTTCATTTATTTAACGGTTATAATTTATTGGAAATTAATAAATGTGACACAATAAATGTTATTAATTTATAATCGTTAGATTGACAGAAATCAACGGTAATTAAATTGACTGTAAGAGTTGTAAACTTTTTCGGTGATAAGTGGATCTGTTCCCCAAAAGAGAAAACAAAGATAAAATTATTATTATTCACACTTTTTTTTAGTACATTATTATTAACACTTAGCATATAAAGAACCAATGAAACAAAAAGAGGAATATCCCTTTTCTAAATTCCGAAACTGTTCCTACAACGTGCAAGGCAACTGAAAAGAGAAAAAGCCAGTTTTGTTACGTTACTGTCTCTATCATAAATGACGAAATCCTCCTCTAAAATTAATTTCATGAAATTAACTTACATCAATATAACTCTAATAAGTAATAATCATATCTATTATTACTTTTTGTAATTAATTTTAAATTATTAAATAGAAGTTAATCAATGATAAATAATGAATATAACATTAAAAATTAATCATTTTCCTTGAGATATTAGTATCCAATATTCACTATTTAATAACATACTTAAAATACAAATATGAAAAATTTGATATTAGGTGAAACTGTGAAAGTAAAATAGGTGGTGAATAAATATAAAGAAATAATGTTTGTCATTTTATATTACGTGAGACTCATATTTTTTTCTTACTATTTTATTCATATAGTTCCATACATTTTTGTATGTGGAGAAAATATGAGAAATATCAATCCCTACCCTAAATATAAATGAGTAAAGTTTATGTCTTTTGCTTATAAAAAAAAAAGTCTGCGTCTTTTAAAAAAGATGATGATTTTAAAAAAGAGAAAAGATATTATTCTCTTTTCTTATAATTTATCTCTTTCTCTTATTTAAAATATAATTTTATATTTTTAAACTTTTTTTAATATAAGGAAAAAAATATTTCTACAATCACTTTAGATAAGGTTATCTACAACTATCTCAAAAACTACGTCGTTTTGATTAATGAAGGGTGTTTCTATAATTTTAGATGAGTTAATGAAGGGTGTTTCGATAAAATGCATATAATAAAAAAATAAATAAAATTACAAAAATATCCTTCATTAATTCATCTAAAATTACAAAAACACCGTTCATTAATCAAAATGACGTAATAGCTTTAGATAATTTTATTGGCGATAGAAATATTTATCCTATAATTTATCTCTTTTCTCTTATTTAAAATACAATTTTATATTTTTAAACTTTCCCCAATATAAATATCTAAACGAAGAATCTCCGTGAACTTGAAGTATAAATAGAGTGTTCTGCGTGTATTTCGCATCTATTCTCAAATCAAAGTGGCGGTGGAGAAATAAGAGAGAGAAAGCGTGCGTCAGTTGTGTGTGTGATAGCGAGAGAGAGAGAGAGAAAGAGAGAGAGAGTGCATTACCGATTAGCCGTCGATCTTATGCAAGAATCGTCGTGTTTCCGGCGATATTTGGTGGAAAGTGTTTGATATTTTTGGTTTTGATTGAAAGAACGAAGAACATAACCTTATGATCTGTTTTGAGAAGCTGCGTTTCTCTTCCTATCTGAGCCGCTTCATTGCCGGCATTCTTCTCTTGATCTTTTGCAATTCATTCCAATTAATCTCCAATTTCCCCAATCCTATACACCCTTAAACAATTCGTTACCATTCAATTCCTCTTTGTTTCTATATCTCTCTCTCTGTCTCTCTCATTCCATTGGTTCCTCTCGAGTCTTCACATTTGAATTGCCTCTTTATGGATCCTAAACACTTATTCTCCACCGCTTTGCTTGATGGTTAGTGTTTTCAACTTTTTTTCATTTCTTTCATTTTTTACACGTTTATGCGGGAATGGATCCGTGAAAATTTTATGTATATCTCTCTATTATACATTGAATAGCGAGATTGTATTAAAATTCATGACGTTTTGTTAAAATTCATAAATATTTATGAAAAGAGATACGAGAGGATCTATTCCCGTCTTTATTTGCTTTATTGGTTTTATTAGCTCTCCGTTTGCTTGTTTTACGTTTTTCTTATTTTTATTGAATGTTTATATTTTGGTTGAAAAATTTTGGAATTTTTTTTCTTTCTCATTTTCTTTGTTGATGTTCAGGAATTTGCTAGTTTGTTTGTGTGTTAATATGACTGTAATGTTGTGTATGAATAATAGCCTTTCTTAATAATGGTTGTGATGTTTGGGTGGCGATATGACCTGTCTACAAAATGGTTTTGGAATAATTAAGATCGTAATCATGCTACTAATAGATGGTTACTGCATAAAGAATCCATTTGTAATTTAATTGCACTTGGTTGTGTAGGGTTTGCTGTGGCTTTTCAATAATTTTCATGGCATAAATACCTTTGACTAGTGTATATTTCATAGATTGAATGAAAATTATTGAAAAAGCAGGAGAGAGTTTTTCATTATATGGTTTATCTAGTTCATTCTCATTATGTACTAGGATTTTGCCCCTTCTGATTTTTGTGTTCGATGACCAGACACTCTTTCCTCACACTTTGAGAGGCAACAACACAGAACTCTCCCGTCAGTTATTGTAATCGGTGCTGGAATATCAGGGATTGCTGCAGCACGTAGTCTCTATGACGCATCTTTTAAGGTTCATATCGTTATGATCAGACTTCCACTTTATTTGTTCTTTCTATTTTCCTTAATTAGGACGAAAGATTTTTTCTTGCTTTTCTGCTATGGCTTATTTTCATCATTTGGTTAGGTGACTGTACTGGAGTCACGGGATAGGCTTGGTGGTCGCATTCATACTGACTACTCATTTGGTTGTCCAGTTGACATGGGAGCCTCATGGTAAGTTCAACATGTTCCACTTAAATTGTTTTTGTTGTTCACACTGTTACGGTTTTATTTATGTTATTTGATTATTTTCTGAATTATTGGGTTGTTTAAGTAGTGGTAGTTATTTTTCTTGTTTTGTTATTAGTGGAGTCTATTTGATGTTAGTAGGTAGTTACTTTTATGGTTGACTCATATTCCTCACTAAAGCCATTTGAGGACAGACTTCCTCAATAAAGCCACATTCCCATTTTTATTTATTTTTGTACGTAACAATTGGTATCAGATCAGAGCTCATGTATGGAAAGAGCTCAGGTATGGAAAGACGCGGTCTAGTCTTTGTCGATGAGGCCCAACACCCTCTCATCTGCAATTGGGCTGGCAAAACTATATGAGGCCTGCAATTAGAAGATATCTTTCCTGCTTAGAATGTGTGATGGACCATAAACAATCAGCAACACCAAGGGTTCATCTTTATCCACTCCCACCAGCGGTGCTGCATCTTCCGGCAGTAGCGCATCCTCCACCGGTTCAACTCTCGTTCGTTGTTTGACCTTCGAAGAGATATCTGAGCGTCACTCCAGGCCATCACTGCAAACAATTGTTGACCATCCAAGTAGTGACAAAAGAAAGCGACTACGAGGCGGTGATGGACGAAAGTGAAGGAGAAGCGGATATTGAAGATGATTCAATTACTTGATATTGAACTTACTCTTGAGGACAAGAGTAATTTTAGGGAGAGGGAATGTTACAGTTTTATTTATGTTATTTGATTATTTTCTGAATTATTGGGTTGTTTAAGTAGCGGGTAGTTATTTTTCTTGTTTTGTTATTAGTGGAGACTATTTTATGTTAGTGGGTAGTTACTTTTATGGTTGACTCATATTCCTCATTAAAGCCATTTGAGGCCAGACTTCCTCAATAAAGTCACATTCCCATTTTTATTTATTTTTGTACGTAACAATTGGTATCAGATCAGAGCTCAGGTATGGAAAGACGCGGTCTAGTCTTTGTCGCAGCAATTCAAGGAGATGTTCACCCAATTCTCTAACCAGTTGGACGTCTTGGTGGCTAATAGGCCCAACAGTGGCGCCTCCTCCACCGGTTCGACTCTCGTTCGCTGTTTGACCTTCGAAGAGATATCTGAGCGGCGACAGAAGGGGCTTTCGCTGTAATGACGCATTCACTCCAGGCCATCACTGCAAACAATTGTTCACCATCCAAGTAGTGACAAAAGAGAGCGACGACGAGGCGGTGATGGACGAAAGTGAAGGAGAAGCGGATATTGAAGATGATTCATTTACTTGATATCGAACTTACTCTTTAGGACAAGAGTAATTTTAGGGAGAGGGAATGTTACGGTTTTATTTATGTTATTTGATTATTTTATGAATTATAGGGTTGTTTAAGTAACGGGTAGTTATTTTTCTTGTTTTGTTATTAGTGGAGTCTATTTGATGTTAGTGGGTAGTTACTTTTATGGTTGACTCATATTATCTATTTAAACCTTGAAATATTGAAATAAAAATTATCATATCAGACTAGAAAAGTTATCCAAAAGACAATAAAGTTATCCCAAGACACTGTGTGCAAGGGGTCAGGCTTCCTCAGTAAAGCCATTTGAGGTCAGGCTTCCTCAATAAAGTCACATTCCCATTTTTATTTATTTTTGTACGTAAACACACGCACACACACATTCCTGTTTTGTAGATGAAAGATGAACAGAAATTTTACATTGTATTCATTAAAACAGAAATTGTACATTGTATTCATTAACTTCTAAATTGTCTTTAATATGGTGTGCATCGTGCTGTGTTTTCTAAAAAAATTAATCTTACCATGGTATATTGTTAGTTGGTAGCTTGCCTATTCTTCTTTCCTTACTTCTGGGTTAGGTAATGTTTAAAACAGGGATGTGCCCACGACACTTAGAGCACAATGTATTTGAATTTGTTAAATATAGACTTTTAAGCAAAATTTAAACCTTTCTCACACCATAAAGCTGTGCTTACATATTTGCTGTCACACTTAAGCTGCCATTGGATCCCCCATGACAATAGCTCCCTTCCAAGTCTTGAATCAGATCATCATATATGGCATTGCCCAGATTGACCAAAAAAGAGACGTCAAAATCTCTTAGGGACTTTATTAAACCAAAGAGTACAGGTCCCCAAAGATGGCTCTCTTTATGTCCCTGGCCCTGTTTATTAACATCAATGATATCCTTTTTTTATTTGTTTTATTTTTTATGTTTGGTTCATGTTTTTCGTTTTTGTCAAACTATTGCCAATGCTTTCTACCTTTTTAAGCTAATTGTCGTCTCCAGTTTTGGCTGGTGACTTAAATTGCAGTTTTAGATTGATTGGCGTGGTCCATAAAGCCTAATATCCCTTTGATTTTCTTCCCACACTCATAAGGCTTAAAATTCAGTACAATGAGAGAAACTTAAAACGGTCATCACCTCTTTCATTTATTGACTTTTTTGTTTAAATATTTCTTTTCAACTTTTAATGTTTCTTCTACGAAGCTAGCTGTCTTTTATATGCTGAGTTAGGCCACTGAAGTTCGTTTATCAGTGTAAAAAAGCCAAAAGAGTTAGTTGTAGAGAAGGCCACATGGCAAGCAGTGAATGGAGGGGGTGAGTTGGGAGATAGTGGGACAAACAAGAAGTTGGTTATAGGAGAAGAAGAGAGAAGGGGGATGGGGGGAGGTCATGCTAGACTTGAGTAAGGCAAGGAAGGTTGAGGGAACTCTGGGAGTGGAATATCTGCACCTAGAGGGAGCTTGGAGGTTCTCGGTTGGCTGCTATGCTGTTCTTCTGTGACCTGTGTTTTTTGCCGTATCAATAGTCTGAGAGTGTCTCTGTTTTTCTTCTCTCTGTTTTAATTTCTACTCTTCTTGTAAATTGTAGTGTGAGAAGTCTGTAAGGAGCTAGACTCCATATGTTTTTGGTTTAATTGAATTGCTGGTACCGACATGCTGAAAGAGACTTTTTTAGCACATAATACATATTCTGGAAGATATTCCTTAGAAGTATGATGTTTGAGATTGTAGCAAGATACATTGTTTTTGGATAAGTAAGATGCGCCCCTTCTAGTTATTTGTACTCATCATGCTCTATTCTTTAAATGTAAAGAACCGTGAATGGAATGAGTAAGAAATTGATGAATTTTTAATATTATTAGTTCTTTCTTGATAATTTTCTAGGCTGCATGGAGTCTGTAATGAGAATCCCTTGGCTCCATTGATAAGAGGCCTGGGGCTTACGTTATATCGTACCAGTGGTGACAACTCTGTCTTATATGACCATGATTTGGAAAGGTAAATAATCTGCCATGTTTGTGCTATTCTGTTAAGGTTGATGCATTTGAAGGTTTATGATGTAATTTTTAGAATTAGGAGAAGTAGTATTTCAACTGACCTACATGGTTAGATGCAAATTTACCAATTTGGTAACTCTTTGTGACCCATAACCTTTCCTTTATGCACGGAGTGCTCATGAATAACATTGTCTCGTGAAAATGAAGCATACGTATATGATTTACTAATATTTAAAACAATAAAACATCTGGATCTTTTGCAAGTCTACTAGTAGTGTTTGATAATAACCGTAGTTTGTCTTTCCAGTTGTATGCTTTTTAACATAGACGGTCATCAAGTTCCACAACAGATGGTCATTGAAGTTGGAGACACTTTTAAGAGAATTCTGGAAGAGGTAAGATCTTTTTACTTTGCAGCATATCGCTTGTTGTGTTTTTCAAACATCAACACGATTATGATTATCTTAATCTTGAATCTAACGGCCACTTGGTGACTACAGACAGAAAAGGTGAGGGATGAGCATCCTGAGGACATTTCAGTTTCCCAAGCGATTTCAATTGTGCTAGATAGGAATCCAGAACTAAGGTACTTGATTGAATTTGAGGACAAGCATTAAGACTTGAAGTTCCAATCTATCTATCAGTGTAATTGACTAAGTTTTCTGCAGGCAACAAGGACTTGCCCATGAAGTGCTGCAATGGTATATATGCAGAATGGAAGCTTGGTTTGCTGCTGACGCAGATATGATTTCACTGAAAACCTGGGATCAGGCAAGTGCCATTGTATTAGTTGAAGGATATAAAATATCCTTTTGCCTCTAACCTTCAACATATCGTTTTTCTGTGTTTTATTCATGATTTCATTCATAAACCTTAATTTGCCACCATATTCTTAGGTTAAATTATTGTTGATATAAAGGATGAAATTATGTGAAGTGGAGTATAATCAGCAAAAATCTATAAGTTACTCATTTTTATGAAACGGACAAAGTATTTTTCCTTTCTAATTATTATATAATTTGAATGTTGAGAACTTCATGAAAAAAATGGATATAATGTAGGAGATAAATAATTAATGATCATTAATTAATCAACTAAAAAAATTGTGTTTTGTCTCGTTAGAGTTAAGTTACTTTTGACATTTTTAATTTGACATATAAGCTTCCCATGATAACTTTTTTGACTTATGTCATTAGATTATTGGGAGAAGGCTTTTGTTGCTGTTGTTTTTTGTTTATCATTTGGTTATTCCCTCTGGTTTAAGCTGATAAAATGAGATCAAAATTTTTCACTTGCCAATGTGGTTGTTGTTGTTGCATTCTATCTATATGTGGACGATCAATGTAGCATTATTTAATTTCGAATTTTATACTTAGTACTTACATTGTTGAGGTTCCTAATTATAGGAACATGTCCTCACTGGTGGTCATGGACTCATGGTGCAAGGATATGATCCTGTTATAAAAGCTCTTGCAAAAGATATTGATATACGATTGAACCACAGGTATACCTGCAAAATCTAATACATGGTTTAACTGCATGGTCATTTTTCATGATTTGTGACAAAACATGCAATAAGTAGAGAAAGAAAAAAAAATGTTTATGCCAAGTTTGGAAAGTCTAAATATGATGATTCTTTTTTATTTATTTATTTTATTTGGTTTGAAAGGTTGATTTTCTGTTAATTATAAATATGTTGTTTTTAAAACCCATATCACTTGTTCTTGTTGAAATTATAGGGGGATTTAGATAGGGAAGGAGAAAAGAAGAGAAATAAGACTCAGTAATATTCTATGATGTGATAAGAGGATATGATGATGACAAAGCATGAAGCCCTATTCACATTAATAGAAGACTCCTAATCCTAATTAAATAAGGAAACAAATCATGAAATATGAAAACTACTCTTAAGAAATCATCTAAGAAGATACTCTAAACTACTTAATAATGATATTATTATAATTTTCTAATATTCTAGCAGTCCTTTTGCCTTTTTTTTTTGAGATATGGGCAGACGCCTTTGCTTATGCTTAGGTGACTTAAATGATTGAATCTGAAACATTTGTTGGTACTTGGTGTGGTTCATTGATTCATTTACCATCAATGAATCTGTTCCAAATCAATTTCTAAGTTTATTTAAGCCAAACTCCTCTTAGTGTAACTTGTCTACCAATTGCACGTGGCACTAACTTCAAAATTTGAACCCATAGAAATGTGGATTCATTTAAATTATTTTGTTACTTTAATTATAAGATTACTTCCCTAATTTTTCCTTTATCCCCTTCCTCTAATGATGAATTAGGATGTAAGATGTTGATCCTTTTCTGATACCTCACCATGTAGGGTGACCAAGATATCCAGTGGTTACAATAAGGTTATGGTTACGGTTGAGGATGGCAGGAACTTTGTCGCCGATGCTGCTATCATAACTGTTCCTCTTGGAGTCCTAAAAGCCAATTTAATTGAATTTGAACCAAAACTGCCTGATTGGAAAGTTTCTGCAATTTCGGATCTTGGTGTGGGCAACGAAAATAAGATTGCCCTAAGATTTGACAAAGTGTTTTGGCCTAATGTAGAACTCCTGGGCATTGTTTCCTCGACCTCTTATTCCTGTGGCTATTTTCTCAATCTCCATAAAGCAACAGGCCATCCAATTCTTGTCTATATGGCAGCTGGCAGGTTTGCTTATGACCTTGAGAAGCTATCTAATGAGTCAGCTGCAAATTTTGTAATGCTACAGCTCAAGAAGATGTTCCCTGATGCTTCTGAGCCGGTGAGTTCACCTCTCATTTTGTCCTCATACTAACCATCTCTTAAATTATGCTTTCTCTAGTGTATACATCCTCTGACTTTTTGTTTTGTTGGATTATTGCAGGTTCAGTATCTTGTGTCACGTTGGGGAACAGATCCAAACACTCTTGGTTGTTACTCGTATGATTTAGTTGGAAAACCAAATGATGTGTATGACAAGCTTCGTGCACCCTTGGGTAATCTATTCTTTGGTGGAGAAGCTGTAAGCTTGGAGAACCAGGGATCTGTGCATGGAGCTTACTCTGCTGGGGTTATGGCTGCTGAAAATTGTCAGAGATATCTTTTGGAGAAACAAGGCCACATGCAAAACGTGCCTCTAGCTTCTGTTAGGCATGAAATACTTGAAACTACTATTCCTCTTCAGATCTCGAGGATGTGATTTGTCCTCTTTTTTTTTTTGTAAAAATAAATATTCATTTAAATTTGCATAACGTAGTGGCAAATTATTAGTTATTTGGATATAATAATGAATTAACTATTCTCGAGTGATAGTTATTATCTTACGTGTAACACCATTTCCTTAGTCTTATCCTAACAAGAGTCGATCATCTTTTGTTTAAGTTATCTTAAAGACCGACATAAATTGATTCTATAAGATCACTGACTGGATAGTGCGTACGTAAAATTTAGGTAATGATGTGACATGGCTTAGGACATAATGTGTGAATTTTAATTGGGTTGCGATTTACAAATTAGACCCGTCACTGGTCTGGTAGTTCTCTCAAAAGTACCTCACAGATGTATAAATGGTGGAGGTATCCTCCTACCCTTGTTCTGGGTGGCTTCTCAACATTTTCCTTAATCAACATCTTGGCAGACAACGGGCTTTCGTGTCCCTAGGCTATTTTGTTTGTCTCTGCTTATTATTGTTGTCCTTGCATTAAGCCGAAAAGAAGGCCAAAAGGAAACGATGTTCTTATTTGCTTTACTTTCCCTTTAAAATGTACGAAATCAAATTACTTTAGGGGAAGAAAGTGGAGCTACTAGAAGGGTGTGGGAACATCACATAAAATAAAATTCTAACGACCAAAAAGCGGGTTCGAATCCCAAAAAAGTCGTTTTGATTGCCCAAACGCCTATCTCGGTTTAACGGAGTGATTATTAGTATTTGTAACCACAAAACTCATAAATATTTCTCCCAAAACCCTGAGTTTTATGTTAATTTAAGAAGTAGTTTATAATTGATTAATTATGTTTATTTTTTTTTTCATATTACATGCTTGAAATGTAAGAAAATCAGTTGTTCTTTATAACGAATAATTATATGGGGAAATGTTTTCTGGATCACAGATAGAAAAAGGGGGATGAGGTCCATTAATTACCATGTTCTATTTCTTTATCAGTTTTTCTCTATTTATTTTTTATGTGGCAGATAAAAAATTTCTGTCACAAATGCAGAAAACATTTTTCATAATTATATATGACTTAATTTTTTCCAGGTGGTTTACACAGGCCAGAACTTGTTGTGTATGTTAAACCTGGCCCCTTCAATTTATTTATTTATTTTAAGAGTTAAAAATTTCTCATGTGACACTGTGAGTATAACAGTCTAGCTCTCACTCTATTTAGACGTTAAAAGATAAGACATAGCAATTTGACCAGTACATCAGATGTACCTTACTGGGTACATCTTCTTTTCAAAAAGAGAAAATTTTCTTCTCATTTAATTCATATCTTTTCACGAATTTTCTATCAATTCTTAATTTTTTTTCTTTTTTGAGACAGATGCAGCATAGATCCCATGCACCAAAGAAACACTCCTATTAAAGTAATTGTTAACCCCCTTGATTAGAAAGAAAAGACAAGAATCAGCAAATCACACAACTTACAGAGTTCAAGTCTCTTTCAATTTGCTTCCTCATATCAAATTTCTCACTCCGGTCCTGACAATCTACCCTTAAAGTTTTCTTGTAGATATAATCCAAACGTCTAACATATTATAAATATCGATATTGAGAAGGGAATACTATTAACTCCAAAAATTGATTTAAGAAAAAAATTGTCTAAATCATTATAAGAAGTATGTCAACAACAGTTATTGCAATGACTATAGACGGAGGAACCTCCCCTCTCTTTTCAGTAAAGCTGTGTCTCGATAATCTGACACCTTGAAACTTCCACTGATCATTATCATCTCATTCAGTAAAGTTAAGAAGACATGCGTTTTCGAAAGAGTGTTGGTATATTACAAATTTACAATGAGAGTAGACAATGATTGAACTCTTATTTATAAACTCATTTGTTCATATTCACTCAACAGAACATTGACAATATTTTGGTGTAATTAGTCTCTCACTTAGAATAAAGGGTTATTAGTACAATATCTTCTTAGCAACCTACGATCCAACCTATGTTAAGTCATAAATGATTTAATATATTTAGTATGACAAAATCGACTTAAGTTTAAAAAAAATATATTTAAAAAATAGGTCGTAGACGTATTTTTATGACCTATAATTGACTTATATTTAGTATTATTATTTTTAATTAAAATAAATATTTCAAAATTTTAATTAATAAAATAATGTAACTTTATTTATTTATTTTTTAATTCTTCATGGATATTGAAGACTTGATAAGCTTAAATGGTTAACAGATTTATGTTAGGTCTTTTGATTTTTTAATATAAATCAAATTAGACCTATAATTTAACTTACACCATCATAATAGATTAGATCAAACTCAAAATATTTTACATAAATTTGATTATTTACACCTTTTATTACAAGACTTAGCTATGTTCTTCACGGGCCAGCTAGACTATTTTTTTAACATAAAAATTGAAAATATAAATATCTAAAAAAATTCTAAACTTGGACCACAAAATTTTTGCATCTCATAAATTTGACATTTCAAAGCTAAATCTACTGAAAAAAAAGAAATTATAACTATAGATATATACTACCAATTACATTTTGAAAATTGTTATTTTTTTATAACTAATTAAACTTACTCGGTCACGAGCAAAATTAAAAATTGCATGTTTACCAAAATAAAAGAAAAAGTTACATAAGAGCTGGAATCACAAAATTTGTTTTTATGCTAATAATAAATTCTTAAAAAAAGCAAAATGTTACGACAACTTTTGTTTAAAAATGACATATCACGGTTTACCAAAATAAAAATAAAAATGACATATCACGATCACATCAAGAATTAAACTGAAACTAGAATTTTAGTATCATAGCAACATCCAATCTAACTTACCATCACATAAGAACCCTTGCATATATGGGCCTCATCAACATAGTGGAAAGGAATCAAATTTGGGAGCTTGTTTCTTTCTTGGAGAGTTGCCCAAGTTGTAAGCAAAAGCAATTTTGCATTTGCATGTCAAAGTCAAGCCACCTATAACAATAAGCACACGCACGTACCAAAAAATAAAAAATAAAATAAGATGAAGAGTAACGTATCTTTTTAGATCATCAACAAATATTATGAAACTTAATTTAATCTCTTACAAAAAAATTTGTGAATTCTTTAAAATTTAAAATAGATTCATATTAATCCTTTTAAAGAACTAACATAAGTTTTTTTTGAAAATTTTAGAGAAATTACGATTTTGATTAAGTTAATCTATTTTGAATTTCAAATGTATCATGAGAAAGTTTTTTTTTTTTTTTTTTTAATTTCTTCTAGAAGATTATAATGGACCAATAAAAACGACAATAAAAACAGATAAAACGAGCGCGTCTGAACGCAGACGCTAGCAAGGAAACCCACCGTAAGCGAAAAGCAATAGAATTCTCAATTCAGAGACAGAGACTCTCCCTCTCTCTCTCTCTCTCTCTCTCTGATTTGATCAATTCAATCTTCAATTCTTCACATACGCAAAGTGCAAAGTTCTAATCTTTTGGTTTTTGGGTTCTCGTTTATCTCTTCGATTCCGATCGATCCAATTCTCTTCCCATGGCTACGATCGGGCACAACAATCTCAATGCAAAATTGGTGGGTCCATCCTTCTCGGTTTCCTCTGTTTCTCGCTCCATCTTTTTTCGATTCCGATAATACCCCTGACTTTGTTTTTTTCCCATCAGGTTCTCCTCGGGGATATGGGTGCCGGAAAATCCAGCCTCGTTTTGCGCTTTGTTAAGGGTCAATTTCTTGAATTTCAGGTTTTTCCTATAACTTTTCATTTAACTATTTTTTTCCTTATTTCTTCGTTTTGATTGAGAAAATTTTCAAATTTAAAAGGACTCCTTCAAATTTTTATTTTGTTTTGTTATGTATGACGAAAATATTCCCTGAATTACACGTAGTTCATCACGGGCATGTATTGATTGAGTTTAGGTAATTTATGCTGATTTGGCAGTGAAATTCACCGATTAGAAATGGGATGATTATTTTGTTTCTAATAAATTTTTTCTTAAAAAGTATGGTGGAGAATGTTCAGCCTGATTTGGTCATGAAAGTTATGAAGGTAGTTACTTGTGAGAGTAAGTCATTAGAATTTTGGAGCTTTAAATGATGCAACAAAGAAAATTGTGGTATGGTGAGAAGAGAGTGTATCTAGTCTTTGAGGTTGTGTGCATGTTGATGGTTTTGGGTTCTGACTTCTCAGAGCTGTTATTTTGTGTGGGAGTTTTGAATGTAAGGAAACATGGAGGTTTTGTTACTGAATTTATGTGTCTTTTGTGGTGTCAGGAATCAACAATAGGGGCGGCATTCTTTTCGCAGACATTGGCAGTAAATGATGCAACAGTGAAATTCGAGATTTGGGACACAGCGGGACAAGAGAGATACCATAGCTTGGCTCCCATGTATTACAGAGGCGCTGCTGCTGCTATCATTGTCTATGACATCACTAGCTCAGTATGATATCTTTGCCTTTGTATATTTCTGAGTACTTTTTCGAATTGGTAATAATATTTGGTGTACATTAACTAGTTGTTTTTGTGACAAGTAATTTAATGCTGATATTTCTTTATTGCTCGTGCACTATATCTAAGATATGTATAACAATGGTTAGGTATGGAACATAGAAAAAAATTGCAGCCTGTTTGTACTGGCTGATAGGTCTCAAAATCATAAGGGGAATGATAAATCTCATTTGGTTGAGGTTGAGATTTGTTCTGTGAGTTATGTGGATGAGCAAGTGCTTCTTTTGCTGCATTTCTTAGTAGACTTCAGTGATTTGCCTAATTTCATTGTATCTTTGTAGTTTTTGAAAAATAATTAATGGGTTGAAATCTTTATGATTGAGTAAAATATTTGTATGTATGGAGTATACTTTAAAATGGAATAAAAGGAAACAAAACTCAAACCCGGAAGTTGATAAGTCCAGAGCCCAAAAAGTGTAGACTGTCGACCAAAATCAAACATTATTTATATGAACTGTGAGTAGTGTACAGAAGAAACCTTATTAAGGAATTATGTCCAACTTATAAGACATTATATGCATCTTATAAGTGAATATCTGATTGTTCCATTTTAGCCAATAACTTTGCACAAGATATTCCAGGACAATCTTCATTACTATTGTATGCTCAGGGCCCACTTATTCTAATC